GACATGTTCGCCAGTTTTCGGCTGCCGCCCAAGCGACATTTTGTTTGTTCTGTTCAAGAAACCAGTCCCAAGAGGCGCTGCGTCTCCCAAGCACCAGTCCCACCCCACACACACAGTGTTTGCACCAGAAGCCCCCAGTTTGGGTGCGCTAAATGTTCAAAATGTACAGAATGTACAAAATTGTGTAAATTGCAATGTGTTAATAAAAGAAACACACCAAAAACAAATCAAAAAATTGTGAGCGACAGTCATATAATGCTGCGCCTCTCTCACATGACGGAGGGCAGCAGGACTTCGCTAACACAAGTCGGTCGCCTAACGACACGGCTCTCTCTCTCTGGCGCNGCGTGGTTCCCATACATGATGTTGTACCTCGTTCCTTTCCTTCAGGGAACAGTAGTTATATGCATAACATTACGTTTTCATGGCTCAGAATAGCAGAGAATTGTGAAAAAATAAACTTTTCCTTTCAGTCTCAATGATTTCTGACCTCGGCACTTTGAGCGACACGTTTGTGACTGACACCAGCTCAGACTGACGTGTTTCCTTTCCCTCCTGGTCCACTGGCAGAGGCTGTTCCGATCGTTCGCCAACGACGACCGCCACGTCATGGCCAAGCATGCCAGCGTCTACCCGGCCCCGGAGGAGCTGGAGGCCATCCAGACGCTGGTGTCCACCGTGGAGGGAGCCCTGAAGAAGGTCTCCGATTGGATGGATGGCCTCAAAACCTCCTCAGGGAAGACTTCCACCAGTGATGATGCCGGGTGCAGGAAGGAGGAGGACAGTGCTGCTGAGGCCGAGTATAAAACATCACTTTTATAGTTCTGTTTGTCACAAATGTGTTTCTGTTTGTTGTTATCACCTTTATATAAATGTAGGTGTGTGTGTGTGTGTGTAATCACTCCGTGTGGCTCAGTGTTAATCCGGCATTGGCTGTCCTCCATCTGCCCTCAGGTGCGACGGTACGTCGGTGCTGTGCGGGGTGACGCGTGTCGGCCTGGTGGCCAAAGGCCTGCTGATCAAACACGACCTGAACCTGGAGCTGGTGCTGATGTGCAGAGAGAGACCCACCAAGCTGCTGCTGTACACCATCAGCGCCAACCTGCCGCTGCAGATCCAGGTCCGCTCAGCCACACGGTGCCTCCTCAAACAACAGAAACATCGGCATCAAATTTCCGTTAAAGTTTTTTAATTTAAGCTCGAAAACACGGTTTGTTCTGTGATATTAAAGACACAAACTGACGTCTTGTTGGTTAGAAAAACATGTTAAGTAGGGCTGGGTGATATTTAAAAATGATATGAATCGCAACAGACAAGTTTAATATCAACAGAAAACATGTTCGATGTAATATTTAATTTCTCTAATTATTAACTGCTAACGGTTGATTAATTTCTGATAAAATAAAATAGGATATTTCAGCTAAACAACACCAGGAAAGCTAAGATTCACCTTCAAAATAAAAGCTTCAAGTTGTTAGACAACAAGTGCCCGCTAAAAAAAAAATTGTATTTGTATTTATTTATTTAACACATTAGCAGTAAAACAAAGAATACAACAACAATTCAAAATGACATATTTCACGTGCAAGGGAAGGATAAAAGCCTAAATAGTCTTATGTAAAATCCACTCCAAATCAAATCAAACTACAACACAACAGTACAAAACCATAAAATAGAAATAGCCACACAAATAAAAATAACTAAAATGGAACAAAATCAATACAAAAATAGACATCAAAATAAAATATAAAATCCATCAAAATACATACAAAAATAAGAAAAATCTAAAATCACTTTAATTATACATTACAAAATCAACTGTTTGTTTGTTTGTTTGGTTTGCACTGTCTATTATTTACATTTACCATATGACTTCAACATAGGGTTGGGTAATATTTGCAAAAAAAATTAATCACGATTAATTGTGGTATTTAGCCGATAACGATTAATGACGATTAATCCCCTGGAGTCCCTGGACGCCAGCCTGCCCTAATTACATGTCCAATTTAAAACACTTTAATGGTAAAGATTGTCTCTTTGTAAAATTCTGTTGTGTCAAAAGTACAGACTTCAGTCAACACATCAGCTTTAAAATTGTGTTGATAGAACAAGTAAAACCAGAGTTATGATAAATAAATTACAGAACCTTTTAAAAATGTTTGTCATGTTTGAAGCAGAGAGGAGCACTGAGCAGACCGACCGGGGAAATCCCCAGTCAGTCTACCTGCTGGCGTTAATCGTCAAGTGCCAAAAAAAAATCGATTAAAGTTTTTCTGACAGTTAATTAATCAGTTTTGTCCAACCCTACTGCAACAGTGTTATAAAAAAAGTTTCAGACTTGGGACTTGACAGTTGTCTGTCTTGACTTGAGACTTGACTCTGACTTGAGGATAATGATGGGAGACTTATTGAGAATTGCAAAGAAAAAACCGGTGTCAATATGATGCCCCAACAGCTAAAAACCTGCAGCTAAACAAGGTAAGCTAGCAAAAAATCATGTGGAGTAACATGCAGCAGCAGTTTCATGTTTCGCCTCATTACTTAAAAATAAAAATGAACGGCGTCGGAGTGAAAGGAGAAAATGATGCAACAGCTCAAGAGGAAATTGTGGATAAAAGAGGAAAGGTCACCAGTTTGTTAGGATTTCAGATACTTTAGGTTTGACAGTAGTCAAACTGATGTTGTGTAAAACTAATCCATAATTACAGACATTACAGAGAAATGAAACTTTTATACTGAGACAAGATTTTCAGCCATATAATGATGAGCAGAAAATTTTACAGAGAATATAGCATGAACGCTGAGTGCTGACTGTCTTTGCTGAAAACATGAAAAAAGAGCAAGTTTGCTGAAACTGTAGAGAACATTGTTTTTAAAGAAATAGATTGTCTTCCAAAAGTTTCACGTTTCTGAGCCGAACCGGCCAGGGGTTGGTTAAAGCAGAACGAGGAATGAAACTCACAGAGATAGATTTTACAAAGGTTTTACGGACAGATGGACCGACGGTGACTGTTGGAGCAGATGGATGGACCTGAGCTGGATCACTAACAGCACACATCCAGCAGGATGGAGGAGGGAGTTCTGCTTCGAGTCTCTGTTTGAAAACAAAAAATGGAATCCAGTTTGGAATCCAACTCTCAAACCTCCTGAGAGTTTCTAAAATATGCTGTTTTCGAGCATTCAACCATTTTTATACAGGACAATGTTTCATCACCTGCATCTGAGTGCAGCTCTGAGTAAAAATGCTAAATACCAACAACGTAGCCTGACATGGTGCAAAGTCACACTGTTATGCAACCTTTTGTTAATCCTTACAGATTATCCCTGTGGGCTGTTTTATAAGTTCAGCGCTTCATTAAAATTGGCTCGAGTAAATAAAACGTTATATCTCTAATGGAAAAATAACAGTAAATTATGTTTTTTCTTGATCTTTCATCCATTTTAATTACTTTTGTCCTGAAAAGCACGGCACACACACACACACACACACACACACACACACACACACACACACACACACACACACACACACACACACACACACACACACACACACACAAACAAACAAACCCACAACAAGGTACAATATTAAAGCATTTAAAAGTAATTATTAAAAGCTGTTTTTAAAGCAATTAGTTAAAATCAGTGGCAAATAAGAACTCTTTAGATCTAAATGAGGTCAGATCAGACTCAAGTCTGAGATCCTCAGGCAGTTTGTTCCACATGTGAGGTCCATAAAAACTAAAAGCAGCTTCATCTTGTTTGGTCCTGATTTCTGGAACAACTAATAATCCTGTGTTTGCTGATCTGAGAGGTCTGGGTAGTTCATAATGTATAAAATGATCTGTTAAGTACTGCGGAGCTAAACCGCTCAGTGATTTATGGACAAGAAGGAGAACGCTGTAATGTATTCTGAAAGAAACTGGTAACCAGTGGAGTTTATGTTGAAATGTTTTGGTCTGTGTTAAGACTCTGGCAGCTGCATTCTGGACCAGCTGGAGTTGTTGAATTATATTTTATTTTGGACCTTGAAGTAATCCATTACAGTAGTCTAGTTGGCTGTAAATGAAAGCATGAACAAGGATTTTAAGATCAGGTTTTGAAACAAAGTCTCTGATTCTTACAGTAATTTTAAGATAATAAAAACATGATTTTGTTATGGATTTAATGTGGCTTTTAAATTTTAAATTTTTATCAAAAAGTGACTGCAAGGTTCCTAACTTGACCCTTATTTAAAGACAGACTATAATTTTGAGTTTCTCTGTTTGCCCACCAAAAACAATAACCTGTTTTGACGTTATTTAAGGTTATTTGTTTATTTTTTGTGTCACTATTATTTGATGACACAGTAATGTATATCTGAGTGTCATCTGCATACATGTTGTTTTAGACATTACAGGACTGCAAGACTGGTTAATGGGAACATATAATGAAATAAAAAGATGAATAAAAGAGGTCCAAGAATAGACCCTTTTGGCACTCCACAGGAAAGTGGAAAATTTTCTGAAGTGCAATTTAATTTAAAAATAATTTCTGTCTTTAAGATAGGAAACTGTGCCAGAAAAACCAAACCAATGTTCAAGTCTGTAAATAAGACATTTGTGATGATAATGTTTACTCTGAAACCAGATAATGAGAATTGTTTTTAGTTGATGAAAGGTTCGAAGTGGATCTGATCCGATGGGGACCACGTTAATTTAGCTCTACTATTCTCTTTCCTTAAAGCCCAGATAGTGGGACTATCTCAGCCCTCGTACCGCTGACCCACAAGGACTCGCTCCTGGCTTTTTGGTACACCCCAGCATAGAGCCTACCGAGTCCCAACATCACAAGTCAAAATCTGAGCAGTCGAGCGAATAATTTCATTAGAGCGTCGCCATGTAGGTCTCCGGTGTTTCCCCGTCTCCCTTCCAACAAATGATCTCTAACAAAGCAGCGCCACCATTAACGGGCTAAACGTGCTTCCTGTGCCCCGACCCCGGCTAATTACTCACCACAGCTGCCGTCCATGCTTCATCATCAGGGGAGGAAACCAGCCGAAGCTCTCATTTCCTCCACCATGCTGGAGATTGACAAGCAGAGGGGTGATGAATGTGGGGGATGTCTCTGGCAGGGTCCTGAAAGACAGAATGTAGCTGAAAACGTGCCACAGCAAGTAATTCTTATCCTGAGGGAGGGAAAACAAGACGGTTTAGGATGCTGGGAATTCTCTGGCAGGAACAACAGGAGGGAAAACTGGAGGAAAGCTGCATCCAAACACATTTAACTTAAAAAAAGATGATTTTGATGTATAAACTGGATAAGTATAAGGTCTTTTAACTCCCTGACTGCACAGTTAATAAGAAGCAGACAGAAACACAGACTGAAAAATAAGCCTCAAACAGTTGCTGTGAAAGTCACCATAAAAAACTTTAACCTTAAAGTCCCTAAATACAGTTTTGAACTTGATCAAACATTAATCCTGGACTCCTTTCCTCTCCTATTTACACAGAAACACTTGAAGCACCTTGTTGTTTGCAGCTTCAGTTTCTTTAATTAACCGTGCCGCTCCGCTCCGCAGACAATGACGGACGACAAATATGAAGTGCGGTCGTGCGTTCCCGAGGCAGCGATCCAGGTCTGCAGCACCAAAGACCCCCGACTCTCACTGAAGATCACCCTCTCCTCTTTAGCCATGAGGGATGAACACGACACAGGTGAAGGTATTTAGCACAACACCACATTGTGTTTGTTATTTTTTTATTATTATTATTATTTGTTATGAAGCAGAACGTACCCGAATGTTAAAGGTAAAGTAAAACCTGAGCAGGATGATGAACGAGGGAAAAAATGGAGCTGGACGAAACATGAAGAGGCCTGAAATATGAGTGTTGATCCAGGGGAAGAGGAGAAGGGCTGATCTGGGTCAAGTGTAGTGGATATAGCAGATGGACGGGGAGGAGGGATTCTGCAGGGGATCTGTTGGGTTGGGATCGACACAAAAAGGCCAAGTCTGTCTCAGGTGGCGGTTTGATTCATACTGCAGCTCTAGGAAAGATTCACTCGTCTGATCTGGTTTCCAACAGGGATGTTCTTTATGCATGTGTTTTTAAACCAGAGCTAAATATATTTTAAGTTTTGTGGAGCCAAACTCTCCAGAACCATCTGTGAGTAAAAACAAAAGTGAAGCAAGGGGAGAGGATCTGCTTTTGTTCTCCGCTGAAGTTTCTGTGAAACACAAGTCAAGTCTTGTTGATTAAAAATGTAATTCCCTCACATCCAGGTGTCAGAAATGACAGCTCCATCAGATCAGGAAGTCTTATTGACAGAAACGCTACACCTCAACCCCACCAGCTGAAACTGCAGCTGATTTTATCTCCTCTTTAATAGTTCCAATCTACTTCTGTCTCTTAATGACTTTTTAGACTGCGGAAATAACGAACTGGAAGAGCTTTGATATTCATTTTATTGCTGTCAGCTGCGTAGAGTAATACGGGAATGTTGAATGGATGATTAATCTCATTTTGGCTCGTCTTTGATTAAAAAGTCACAAAAATCAATTTATTCAGTCTTGAAGACATTGTTCTCAATAGTTTGAGATGAACTTTTTTGTTTTCTGTTTGTTTAATTTGCAACTGTTCATTTATTTCTACATTTCAGGCCTAAAATGATCAGAAAACAAATTACTTCAGACAGGTGTCAGCCGATTTTAAACACATCTTAAAGCAACATATTTCCACTTCTACTAAGACCTTTATGATATGAATTTTGCTGGACAATAAATTGTCTCAGAAATTATCGCGATAAAGAAAAATATCGTTTGGAGACCATTTTAAATGAATATGATCTTTCCCACCACCACTTTACAAACCCATACTAAAGGCCCTGTCACACTATAATGTTTTAGACAACTTATGAAATTTGTTTTTTGTCTAAATTACTAATGAGTTATATAATCAATCCATTTGTTATTGTTACAGTATGTACACGCCTAAATTAGGCTTCCAGTTGTTTTTTTAATTCCAACTTAAAATCTTTAAAATTTTTTCAAATTTGCATGTTTTCTAAAATGTTATAGTGTGACAGGGGCTTTAAGAAGCTGACAGACGTTTACTAAATTTACGTACATTTAAAAAAGGTTACTGCTGAAGCTGTAAATTTGCTTCCCACCTTCTTTATCCAAGTTGGCAAAATTTATTCTGTGTGTCTTCCTCTGGCTTCAGAAAATAACTGCTATCATTCACACGTCACTTACGAATTTTACATAAGTTTACGAAATTATGTTGGTAAAAAAAAAGTTACTGCTGAAGCTGTAAAATCACTTCCCACTTCCTGTATCCAAGCCAGCACAATTTATTCCATATGTCTTCCTCTAGCTACAGAAAATAACTGCGATCACTTGCACACTGCTTACGAATTTTACATAAGTTTACAAGATTTACATACGTAAATAAAATAAGTTACTGCTAAAGCTGTAAAATTGTTTTCATCTCCTCTATCCAAACCGTCACAATTTATTGTGTGTGTTTTCCTCTGCCTTCAGAAAATAACTGCAATCACTTGCACACTGTTTACGAATTTTACGTAACTTTTCAAAATTTACGTACATAAAAAAGTTATTGCTAAAGCTGTAAAATCGCTTCCCACTTCCTGTATCCAAGCCGGCACAATTTTCCATATGTCTCCCTCTGGCTTCAGAAAATAACTGCAATCACTCGCACACTGCTTACAAATTTTACATAAGTTTACAAAATTTATATACGCAAAAGAAAATAAATAAAAAAGTTACTGCTAAAGATGTAAAATCGCTTCCCGTCTCCTCTATCCAAGCTGTCACAGTTTATTCTGTGTCTCTTCCTCTGGCTTCAGAAAATAACTGCGATCACTTGCACGCTGTTTACGAATTTTATGTAACTTTGCAAAATTTACGTACATAAAAAAGTTACTGCTAAAGCTGTAAAATCACTTCCCACTTCCTGTATCTAAGCCGTCACAATTTATTTTGTATATCTTCATCTGGCTTCAGAAAATAACTGTGATCATTCGCATGCTGTTTACGAACTTTATGCAGTGTAAAAAACAACTCTGTAAACCAAAGGGCACAATTTATTCTGTCCTAGATCAGTTGGCTTTGGCAGCCATCTTGAATTGGGTTTGCTCCAATGGTTGTAAAACAATGTATTTTTTGTTGTTTAATAATTTATTATTAATAATAATTTATTTCTCATTGTGTTTTCAGGTGTTAGCTGCAGGTTTTGAATGATTTATCTTAAAGTTTTAAATATCAGAACACATAAGTATTTTAAAAGAATAGATTTGTCTGGGTGTTGCATTACGAGGGCTCCTCAGTGATTCATCCATGTGTTTATTTTTTGTTAGTTTTTTCCAGCTGACAGACCATTAACCCCTTAACAAGTCCCCTTTGGCGCACAGTTTTTATGGTGCAGCCCCCGCACCGACCTCCGCTCACTGACTGTTGATTCTGTTGCCAAAGCTTGTCCACAGGTCGGCCCGCCGTGTAGACCGAAACTCCTCACCAAAGACCCGCTGCTGACGAGGCGCCTCCCCCACCGAGCAGCAGGAAAGCCCGGGTACAAGGGGCTTCCCCGACAACAACAATCCAAACCACTTTTCTATCTGCCTCAGAAAAACTCCTCACCCCTCCTGTTTTACTTTCCTCTGTCTTACTCTGGGTCACCATGAAATTCTGGTCCCCCTGCCGAGCACACGACCTAAAAAACCGCACATTTCCCAGCAGCCCTTGTTCTGCATCTTGACGTTCTTATCACTGGGGCTGGATGATTTCTGTTGGCTCAGAGTTACATCCCATAATTTCATGTGGTAATGCCGGTTAATTGGACCTCCTGGTCACTAATCAAAATTCCCTTAAGCTGATGGTGTTGAGGAGAATTTAGTGGTGGTTGTCCTGATGTGGTCTTGACCAACGAGTGACAGTTCCTCCATGGTCTGCCTCTGGAAATCCACTGATTATCTGCATCTTGAGGCTAAAAATACAGATCATAAATAAACATGTAAATAAGGTTAGTAGTTTATTGTTGGGTTGCAGTCACGTGAACCGGATGACGTCTGAAATTCATATGGGGAACAGGAAGTTATTTGCTTTTGCTAATTTAAATATTTGCCTATGATAACAATGCTATTAACGCTAACAACGAGCAGAGGTTTATAGTAACTAAGCACATTTACTTTGTTACATTACTTAAGTAGTTTTTTTGAGGATTTGAAATTTTACCAATTATTATTTTAAATAGCTACGTTTACTTTTATTTTGTTACATTTTAAAGCTAAAAATGATACTTTTACTTCTTTACAATGTAACACTTAGTTACTTGTTACAAATTAAATATATTTGAACTCATCATGAAAACTGTTTCTGCTTTAAAAATTAAAGAGTTGAATTAACTCAAAGTCATGTCAGCTGGCTCTATTAGTTGAGTAAATTGAGCAAAGATTATACTCAATTTACTCAACCTGGTTTAGTGGAGCCAGTTTGGTTCAGTAAATTCAACAGTTTATTTCATAGACAGTGTGTAAAACTATTTTTACTTTCCCAATTTTTGTGAATAGTTTTATGACTTTTAAGTAGTTTTCTCATCAGTGAAATTGATTTTTACCAAAGTCATTTTCTGTTCATGTAATTTTACTTTTACTTAGTTATTTTATTCAAGTACTTTATAGACCTCTGACAACAAGTTAACCCGTTATTTCTATGTGCTTAGATTTACTTTTAAATAATTTATTTAGCCCCAATTCCAGTAACTCAATAAAATATCTGAAAATAGGATTAAAATGATAGGATCCTGTTAGAAAGTGGTCGCTGCAAACTTCATTTCCACACCTCCTGTTTTCAGCCGTAGATTGTTGATCCTCCTTTGTCGTTTTTTTTCTGACACACTACTTTCAGAACACAAAAAAAAAACTTTTATATTTCTCCCGGTTGGAGCGGCTGCAAAAACTGTACACGGCACAGAATTTAGGCATTTTGTCGCAGAATCAACAGAAGGAAACAGGGCTGCATTTACTTCCTGTTCCCGTCTCCGTTTTGTGACGTCATTAAATTGTAGACTATTTGGATGGGTGCTGTGGTTTGTGTTTATTATAATGTTTATACTTTTCAAATTATTTAACTTTATTTAGAAATACTTTCCCACAAAGAAATACATTTTCTATTGAATAGTGTCAGAAATGTTTTTGAAACATCCTGCTCTATTCTTGTCCCCTTATGCCTCGTTTTTTTTATTTTAGCTTTTATTTGGCCATATTACAGGAAGTGGTCATTCTGTTCATTAGTGTTGGAGAGGACTGAGTTTTACAGCGATCCAGAGGCAGACCACGAGGGTCTTCAGTCTCTGGTCCTAAAGGAGTAAATCAGGATAAAACCTCTCATTGACTCCTTTTGTTTGATCTCCACCTCCTCCATCCTGTTTCACTTCTATGTGTAGAGAAACAGACTGTAAACCACACGCTCCTCTAAATCTCAGATCAGCAGGTAAACTAGAGTTTAGATGATTCATTTTCTTGATGGGAAAATATCCTGATTCAATCATATGAGATAGAACCATAATGGTTCTAAAGCACATTGATTATGACATACAGGTCCTTCTCAAAAAATTTGCATGTTGTGATAAAGTTCATTATTTTCTGTAATGTACTGATAAACATTAAATTTTCATATATTTTAGATTCATTGCACACCAACTGAAGTAGTTCAAGCCTTTTATTGTTTTAAAATAGATGATTTTGGCAAAAAAGTAAAGAAAAGTCAAAAATCCCTATCTCAAAAAATTAGCATGTCATGAGAAGGTTCTCTAAACGACTTATTAACCAAATCATCTGAATCAACGAATTAACTCTAAACACCTGCAAAAGATTCCTGAGGCTTTTAAAAACTCCCAGCCTGGTTCATTACTCAAAACCACAATCATGGGTAAGACTGCTGACCTGACTGCTGTCCAGAAGGCCATCGATAGCTGTGTTTCCATTGCAAATGTGTGCAAAACTTTGTCGATATTCTATTAATGTCTAAAAACACAGTTTCGCAACTGCTGTGTTTCCATTCAGTAAGAAATGCCAAAAAAGTCACGCGTGAATACGTTTGTTCTCACGATAAGTCATTACAAACATGGCGGCAATGAATGTAAACAAATAGCATATTGCTACCACGACACTAGTGCTCATCATTAGAGGAGACGTTGGTATCTTTTATCAAGGCTTTCCAGCGACAAGCCCCTATTTGGGAGCGGCTACGTAAGCTGTGTTTTTGGGAAATTGTAGTCGGTGAGTTTACTACTCTCTTTTACAACTTCTGTGATATTACTACTTCTACTTCCTGTTATCTTCTTCTTCTTCGTCATCTTTTTCGCCAGTAGAAACAGCCGGTTGTTGATCACGTGACTCCCGTGATGCGAAAAAAAAGTTTCCATCGCAGTTTTGCGAAAAATACCAATTTCGATACGGCCGAAAAACCACCTCATCCTAGCGCAAAAACATTTTGTCGAAAAACATAATTTTCTCCGAAACTGACGTGTTTCCATTGAACAAATTTATTTTCGAAATTCTATTTTGCGCATTTTCATGGTCATTGAAAATGCAGCAATTGACACCCTCAAGCAAGAGGGTAAGACACAGAAAGACATTTCTGAACAAATAGGCTGTTCCCAGAGTGCTGTATCAAGGCACCTCAGTGGGAAGTCTGTGGGAAGGAAAAAGTGTGGCAGAAAACGCGGCACAACAAGAAGAGTTGTCAGTCAGTGATGGTCTGAGGTGCCATGTCAGCTGCTGGTGTTGGTCCACTGAGTTTTATCAAGGGCAGGGTCAGTGCAGCTAACAGGAGATTTTGGAGCACTTCATGCTTCCATCTGCTGAAAAGTTTTATGGAGATGAAGGTTTCATTTTTCAGCACGACCTGGCACCTGCTCACAGTGCCAAAACCACTGGTAAATGGTTTACTGACCATAGCATTACTGGGCTCAACTGGCCTGCCAACTCTCCTGACCTGAACCCCAGAGAGAATCTGTGGGATATTATGAAGAGGAAGTTGAGAGACACAAGGCCCAACACTCTGGATGAGCTTAAGACACAAGACCCAACACTCTGGATGAGTTTAAAACACAAGACCCAACACTCTGGATGAGCTTAAAGCACAAGACCCAACACTCTGGATGAGCTTAAGGCTGCTATCGAAGCATCCTGGGCCTCCATAACACCTCAGCAGTGCCACAGGCTGATTGCCTCCATGCCACGCCACATTGAAGCAGTCATTTCTGCAAAATGATTCCCGACCAAGTATTGAGTGCAGAACTGAACATAATTATTTGAAGGTTGACTTTTTTGTATTAAAAACACTTTTCTTTTATTGGTCGGATGAAATATGCTAATTTTTTGAGATAGGGATTTTTGATTTTTCTTTACTTTTTTGCCAAAATCATCAATATTAAATCAATAAAAGGCTTGAACTACTTCAGTTGGTGTGCAATGAATCTAAAATGTATGAAAGTTTAATGTTTATCAGTACATTACAGAATATAATGAACTTTATCACATATGCTAATTTTTTGAGAAGGACCTGTAATGTTGAAAATGTAAGGAAAGCTAAATGTCTTGGCCGTGGTCCGCAGTCTGTTCCCCCCTCTGCTTGTCTGTCCCACAGCAAGCCCCGCCCCCCTCCAGCTGCTCCTGAGAACAAACAGCCTTCACTTTCTTTCCAGGGTGGCGTTCTCACTCTCAGATGTTTATGTTGTCATCTGCTGTCACTTCTTCTTCTTCTTCTCCTGCTGCTGCTGTCGTCCTCCCATGGCTCGCCCTCCGGTCATGGCAGGAGCGCTCCCCACAGGAACCCGGTGTGGAGAGGCTGTCTCAAACATAAACATCTGACTGACCTCACAAGAGTGAAAATGCTGACATGGCGCTTCAGAAAACTGCAGAGCAGCATGATTGGGTTTGCTCCTCAAGTGGAATAACAACTCTCAGGCACTCCAGAGACAGTTTTTACTAAACATGCGACTCTAAATTCAACTAAACTGAGACGTATTTAATGATTTAAACTCATTTTTCACAATGGAGCTTTGTAAACGTATTAAATGTTTAAACAGAGAAATTTCACCAGCTTGAAGTTGAGCCATGCTCTTCATTTTCATCCTGTGCAGTAACCGATAACACACTAATTCTGCCGTGTTCCTTCAGCCACTGATCTGCATCCAGAGCGAGGCTCCGGCCCAGCAGCAAGACGCATGTTCTCACATCTGCTCTGGTTCCTGTTGGTGTTAGAAAAGATCCCGCCTTGTGCATGAAAATCCCAAGAAAACAAAAACAATCACCTCAAATTCCACCCCCTTCCCTAGCTCATTTGGTCAGATCAGTGGGTTTGTCTAATCATTAGCTGTCCAACCCGTGGACGAGTGTCCGAGCTCTCATCTCGTCTCTTCCTGTTTGTTTGTCCAGAGGAGGACACTCAGGCTGCTGAGGAGGAGAGCGAAGGAAAGCAAGAGGAGGAAGCGAAGGAGGAGGAAGATGTCCTTGACGGACAGAAGTGCCAGGCGGCGCTGGCTGCGCTCCGACACGCCAAGTGGTTCCAGGTGAGCACAGCTGGGCTGCCGACATATTCACTCCCCGTCTCTTTATTTTATTCTGGCAGCTGCTCTCAAAACGTGTCTCTGGGAATTTACATTCATCTGCTGTTGTGCTCCGCAGCGTAAACATGATGGCATCCAGGTTCTGTCAGTTATTAGCGTAATAAAGACACGGTTTTAATGAAACGAAGAGGCAGGCGTGTTGTTGCAGTAAAACATGAGAATATTTAGACAAGTGAAGGTTATTTTTACATATCACAACATCAACAATTTTCTCAGCTTTTATTTAAGTCATAGTCTACACAAATAGGATAAGAAATAAAGATGCTATAAACATTTACGTGAGTGATTGACGCTAATCCTATGGTATGGTTTTGTTTACATGATTGTGATGAAGAGTAATGGCTTGAACTAAGGCCCGGCGCTAGCTTTAGCAGCTAATGGACAATGTTCTAAAGTTCAGATAGATTTGACACTTGGACTTTCACTCTGATGCTTGAGTCAAAAGATTGATGAAAACAAGACAAGAAATAAACTTACCCTGCTGGGCATGATCTCGCCGACTTCAACGTCTTTTTTTCGGCGATTGTCTTTTTTGACACGGTGGCCCCCTCGACAGTTGCCTCACAATGACGTCCTCTCGGATCCGCGGCAACTTATCAGGGATTTTGTCCATTGGTTGTCCACAATTTTCCGAAACCATGCATTGACATTAGAACTCGCTTTCATCAACAAGGTCTTTCCCGCCCCCATTTCCGTATATGGGAGGAGTCAGCATTTCGGCATCCAATCAAAACGTTCATTTCACGCGTGCTTTGCGTGACGACGTAATTTGGCAAAAGGTCCATTCAAACTAACTCCTCCTGAACTTCTAACTCCTGCAAGTAGGTTTTATTAATTTTATTGCAGCATTCACAGTAAATTGTTTATGTTTATCTTTGTTGCTTTTCCCACTTTCCCTGTTCCGTATGTTTTTTTAAGCATGTAATTTGTTCCACAATTCTTGTGCAATTTCAGCAATTCATACATCAAAACATTCAGCTCCTTCAAGACACTGCATACAGTATATGACATTTGGTATTTCAGCAACTTTTTCAGCTTTTTAGCTTTTTCGGCCATTTTTTACTCATTGAAAAAGAATGGAGCTGTTCTGAACATATTTCAAACCTGTCAAAATGTTAAGTCTTTCCTGCACTTTTTACTTTTTGTTCTGGTTCTGCTATTTTGAGATTTTTATGCTTCTTTCAGCTGTTTTCTGCAATTTATACTACTTTTAGCTATTTTTATCTAATGTTAGCTGTTTTTCAACTGAATTCAACCTTATTGTGATCATTTTAGCTACTTTTTTCAGCTACTTAATACAGCAAACATGTTCTCTTTCTGTTTCTTTGTGCTAAATTAAGCTTTTTATGTTTCTTTCAGTTGTTTTCTGCAATTTATACAACTTTTTTAGCTATTTTCAGCTAATTTTAGCTTTTATTTTAGCTAAATTCATCTTTTTCTGATAAATTTAGCTACTTCATTCAGCTGCTTATTACAGCAAATATGTTCTCTGTCTGTTTGTGCTAAATTAAGCTTTCTATGCTTTTATCTGTTTTCTGCTACATTTTAGATATTTTCAGTTAATTTGAGCATTTTCTTAGGTAGGTAGGTAGGTAGGTAGGTAGGTAGGTAGGTAGGTAGGTAGGTAGGTAGGTAGGTAGGTAGGTAGGTAGGTAGGTAGGTAG